TAACGTTTACCACACTTGAATCATTTTACAAAGCCACAAGTATTGATTACTTAAATTATAAATTAAACATATTTTATAAAGGTTCACACTAATCTTCTTAGGGTCCTAAATCATTAACAAGGATTCACGAGTTCTTCCATTTAAGAATGATTCAAAGAAATGGGTTCCATTGTCCGATTCTTCACTAAACTGCCTTTACCTTTTTCAAAACTGAAATTGAAACTCTTTACCAAAAATTCTACTATTTTACTAAGTTAAGCCAGGCATCTCAAGCTTTCCAGTGACATATTATATGTCTCAATTGGAGTTGTATAACTCCGATTATGTTTTTCGCAAAGTGACGGCTGAAAACTGAATTTCCAGCATCCAAGTCGTGACTCCAAACTTAAATTTCTGTTAATCCAATGATCCAATGGCTAAAAAATTTCACAGGGTTATATTCCTACGTGTTAGCTTCATATAGGTCCAAACCGCAATCAATTTGGAGCTCAGTAGCTCGAGATATCGAATTTCTACTAATTATATTTTTGTTGCACTTGGGATTCGAATCCCTTATGAAAGGATTCAAATCCTTCCTTGACAGAAGCTAAAATTTGTCATTTTAACAGGAGGGATTCGAATCCCTTTCGAAAGGATTCAAATCCTTCCCTGTCAAATTCTTTATTTTTACTGTAGGGATTCGAATGCCCTTCGAAAAGATTCAAAATCCTTGTCGATAGAGGCCAAAATAGCAGCTTTTAGCTGCATAATTGGTCATTCCAATTGGCCTTCAATGGTTCAAGCTATCAATTTTACATGTCTAGCGGTCACTTACTCCTAGATTACTAGTTTAACACTTAAGCTCTTAAAGTTCCTTTTTTTCATAATACAATTCAAGCTAATTTTGTAGAAACACAAAGGAAATGGTTGAGGGTTACCATGGAGTCCTCAAAACAGAAAAAAGAAGGGGTTCGCCAAGCTTTTTCTTCCCACTCCTTTACTCTCCAGTAATATATACGAATTGGGGCTTGCAAGGTGGATGCTTTCTTGCCAAATAACTATTCTACAAGGGTTTGAAGTGGGTCAATCTCTCACAATTGGAAGAATGGTATCTCTACACTCAAGGCAGAACCTTCGCATATCAAAGATGGAGTTTTTCCTCACCAAAATGCTTGCTTTCAAATAGAGTGGAGAACAAGAAAGGTGAGGTCTCGGATAGTTTCCATGGAGAAATTGTGGTCTTTCTTGAAGATGAAGAAGAGAGCAACTCTAGGTTTATGTTGAGGGTTCTACGTAGAAGACACACAAATAAGAGGAGAGAGAGTGTGTTTTAGTAACATTATAGTCTCACTTAATTTAACCAATATTAGTCCACATATACCTCACTCGTTTAAATCTCTAATCATTTTGGACCACCGTGTTTATAAATTTTATGACGTATAAATCTATAATTTATTCTCAGTTTCGAATATTTTTCTATACCCGTTGTTTCTACTGCGATAACCGCAATATTAATATTTTTCACCGAAAAAGACTAAATTCAAATGATTAATATTTTCTAATGATTATCAAACCTTAAATATTAATTTATAAATAATTCTTAAAATTACAATTGATTTCTTTTAAGTTTCTGAATAATCTTGCCAATACATCTTTTTATCGCAAAATATTTTGCTTTTACATTTTTTCTCCAAAAATGAATTAATTTAAATAATTATAAATTCTCTCTAATTAGCCTCTTTAAATTATGGAATAATTTTTTAAAATCATAATTTATTGTTAAATTATTAAAATTTTAATTTAACAGTGCCATTTCTTGTATTAGTGATATAATTGATGTATTGAACTTTAATGTATTACATTTATGTAAATACTTTTTGAGGAACGTTATTATAAAATTTAAAATAAATCATATTAAATAAAATATTTAATATATTAGACACATAAAAAAATTGTATTTAATACTTCTTATTTTTAAATATTTAAAAAATTATTTTCAACTTTTTTGACAATAAACCATTAACAAATATAACATTTTATTTAATTGCAGTCAGTGTGTCACATATACCTATTCATAGGAGATCAGCTTCTTGTGTCAGTTGTATGCTGACACCGGTGACGGCGCTGCTGCCACGGAGTTCACTGTGTTGTATTGGGACAAGTAACGCAATTATGTTTTCGTGTGTGACTTGTCGCTATGAGACACAGTTATCACGCACTCTCAGTCTTAGCTTCGACCGCAAAGAAAAATAGCATTAGTATATATATATATATATATATATATATATATATATGAGGCAGGATCCTTTGACACCGGTGTCAAAGGAAAAGTTTGACACCTCATCTGAGAGCCGTTAGATTAAAAACACTACAAGAAAAAATCTTATCAGTGACAAAATTTTATGAAATTTCGTCACTAATTCCTACGTCACAAGTAAATTTCGTCACAAATTCCTGTGTCGCAAATGTATTTGTGACGAAATTTGATTATTTGTGTCGAAAATTATCATTTGTGACAATATTTGTGACGAAAAAATTTCGTCACAAATAAACTTTTTTCTTGTAGTGAAAAAATCAATGGTGTCACATGCTTACAAATCAGAATCGTTGATTTTTTTTAATCTAACGGCTCTCAGATGAGGTGTCAAACTTTTTTTTTGACACCGGTGTCAAAGGATCCTGTCTATATATATATATATATATATATATATATATATATATATATATATATATATATATATAGGTAAACATTTCTACAGTCACTTTTTTTTTTTTGGAAACTGATCCTAATTATCTCTTTGAGGCGAATCACAACCCCTAGTATCCCCACAGGTTCGACTTTTTGAGCCGCCTATGGGACTAATCCAGAGTTCGGATGCGAGTCCAAGGATTACGATACTTATGTCCCTCCCCGGATGGTGTTGGTGGGATTCGAACCGAGGTCCTCTTCCACCACTCATCCCCATGCTACCAACTGAGCCACCACACTTGGGTATTTCTACAGTCACTTTAAATAAGGTTACCTACAACTATCATTTATAACTATGTTCTTTCGAGAGAATATAGTTATAACATTAAAGTTACTTTTTTTCTCTCTCTCCTCAGCTACTTTTCAGAACTTGTTTGCTTGACGTGGAGAAAGAGAAAAATAAACTTTAATGTTACAACTATATATGTTTTCCCGGAAGAACATAGTTATAAATGGTAACTGTAGATAACCTTATCTAAAGTGGTTGTAGAAATATTTTTTTCCATATATATATATATATATATGAAGCAGGATATTCTTACATTGATGTAAGAGTTAGAAGTCTTACACTTAATCTTAACCATTGATCCACTTGTATCCATTGGTTCACATTACTGAAAAATTTGAGCCCTTAGATATAAGTAGAATCAACGGACAAGATTAAGCGTATAACTTACACTGGTGTAAAATGATCCTGACCATATATATATATAGGAGTTATATTAATAAACTTTTTTTTTTATAAATTAGATTAGTTCTAACTAGTTAAACTTTAATCAAAAGTGTATAACTAATCAGATTCAGTGTAGTTTGTACGAAATTTTTTTTGTCAATATAACATTCCTATATATATATATATATATATAAATTAATCCTTACACATAAAGGGAGGCACAATGAAACATAAACTTAAGCACATGATGACTACTTAGAAAGGTACCTGTCCTATTATAGTTGAGGTAGTTAAGATTTGAAGATTGAGGTGAAGCAATTTACTAGAAGAGATTAGCTTATGCTGAAAATGAAAACTGAAATCTGTAATACGACATTGTGCTTGTGTCCCTAGTATATGTTTTATTTGTTTTTAAATTACGTTTGCTTGAAGTGTTTATCTTATCCCATCTGTCCTACATACTGGAGAGGATGAGACTGGGATGTTCTTCCAAGACTTTCTACATGGAGTGGTTGAGGGTTGTTGAGTGTTATTTTTTTTTAATTGATCTTCTCGTATTAAAATTTTATAAGATATAGTTATATGAAATTTTTGTGTTTATCTTTTTTTTTAATGATACAGAGAGATAAACATAAAAATTTCACATAACTGAAATTATGTAAAATTTTATATCGAGAAATCTATTCTCATTTTTTTTTTTGTGTTCTCCAAGGCAAGAGGTGGTGGTACAAAGTGTCAAAATCAACTAAATGAGGTAGAATATATAATAAGAGAATAATCCTCACTTGAGGGTTTGACTGTTATATTTACTTGAGAGGTGAGTGGCTTTTAAGTACATGTATTATCAAACGGTGGTGGTTCAGTTAATGTATAAGAGTTAAGTAGGTAAGTGTAAAAGTATGTGTTTGATTCTTTTCGGATTTAAAGCATTAATTCTGATCCGCCCTGAATCGAATTAATTGCAAAGCAATGAATCGATTAAAATATTTAAAAAAAAGATATGACTTCGAACCGAGGATAGATATGCATGGGGCGAGGAAGTTAAATTTTCAAGGTGCATGTGCATACGCGAACTATAGATATAAGAATATTTTTTGGATTGATAACGCCATAACGGGATCATGTGAGTCGTATAAAACACTACACGACATTAATTAAATAGTTGAATTATATTAACTAGGGATTTGATCTCTTATGTTAAAATTTTATATGAGAAAGTCATGTGAAAATTTTATGTTTATTTTTCGCTTTATTTATGTTAAGAAATTAGTCTTTATTAAACAATATAAGTAATATTAACAATAAGAAGAATAACTCGAACCACAAATGCACACGTGAACCAAAAAATTATAACATCAATCTTTCTATATGATATCCACTATTTTAACAACCGCCATCACTATCTTTTTGAATATACAGCAAATACTATTATATTCAATATAATATTCATTGTTGAGGGTCTTCGAACCTCCTCATATTAGATCCTCCATCAAATATTGAAACTATAATTCATAGGCACAAAATAATAGAAGGTAGATAAACTTCTAAACCCTAAAAGGTTTCAATAAACTTCTAAACCCCCACACAACAAAAAAAAGTTCAAATTATAATCAGCTGAAACATAATAATAAAACCAATAGCCAACCTAAAAGGTTTCACTCCAAACTCAGCACCTTGATTTGCAGACATATCAGATTCTAATGACCACTCAGATCTGAAATTAGGGTTTGACCCATATAAAGATTGCACTCCCTTTATGTCATCAATGTTCAAATCAGCTCTCTTATCTCTAGGCCTAAGACTTGGATACATAACAGCCTCTTTCACTGAACTATGAGATAACCCCAACAAGTGTCCAATCTCATGTGTTGCCACTGACTCCAAATCCACGGCAACCTCAGACTTTGTTACAAGAAAATCCACCGCCCATGTCTCCGCCGCATCAAGGTGGAGCCGCCCAATCTCCGGCGAGAAAGAATGAGCAAGCACACCAAGCACCCCATCAAAGGGTTCACCATCACCATGGTCACCATTGTAAAACCCTATTTTAATATCTGAAAAAGCATAGTCCTTTTCTTCAACAAAACTAACTGGAATAACCGAAGCCCATCTCATGAATGCAAGTTGAAATGCTTCTCTTATGTCATGCATGGTTAAGCTATGTATCATGTAATCTTGTGAGAAGGCATAGGTTAGTGTCATTGGCATGTCACGCGACCACCTTGGTTTTCCAGGAAAATACACAAAATGCTTTGAGGAATGCATGATGTTGTTGTTGTTGTGGTGATGATTATGATTATTGTGAGCCTCTTTTGTGTCTGGAACACCGCATCTTGGGGTGATCATTTGAGAAACTGTGTTTGAATCGAGCTTCCCAGTGACTTGGAGCCCAAGATTTTGTTGGTATCTGATGAGAGCTGATTCGAACTTGGCATCAAATTCATCGCTGAAAGTGTTGTTTTTCTGCAATGGGAGATACCCAAAACGTGATAGGTATCTTTTGAATTGTGATATGCCTGTGATTTTGCTGCCTCTACCAGCATTGGGGAAGCTATGAATGTTGTTGTGGTCTTTGATGACTATTTTTGTGGCTGGTAGTGCAAATGTGTGATCTTGCGTAATTCTTGAAACAATGTATGAAGGTGATGCGAGGAGAAGGGTGAAGAAGAATGCGAAGGAGTATCTGAGTAAAAGGAACATGGTGGTTAGAGCTTGTGGGTTTGGAGGCATCGAAAGAAGCTTTGGTACAAAGCAATATATAAAGGGTCAACTCTTTTAAAAAGAATTAATTAACTAATGATTATAACCCTTTTGAAACATTTGCATATGATTAATTATTAAGGAATAAGAATAATGCTAATCTGAATGTTAAATAATGGCAAGAATCTCTGTATTCATCATCATGGTTTAGTTTATAGATTTTGGATTTAACGTATTATGCTTATCTTTTCTTCCATCATGGATGGTATGGACTGTTAACTATATTTTAAAGAAAAACATTTAACTATATAATTTTTAAAGAAAATGGAAAGAAAATTCTGAAGGCAGAATTGTTGAAACATTTAACTGTTAACTACCCTTTTAATTTTACCCCCGAAATAAATAAATAAATAAATAAATATATATATTATAATAATAAAAAAGACTATTATAACTCTGAAATAAATTATAATTATAAAAATACCTTGATTTTCGCTCCAAAATGATGTCGTTTGGGGCTCAATGTAGATAATTTATCTACATTTACGGTAGAAAAGACTAATCCTATATATATTTAAAAAAAATAAAAGAAACAAATAACCTTCGTCTACAATTCAGTTATTATTAGACTTTTCTTAATTTTCTGATTTTCTCTTTTGCTTTAAAGAGTTAGAATGTATGCAACAAATTCAAATGGGAGCAAGATAGGTAATCCCCTGTTGAAAAATTTGTGTCACCTTCCGAAATTGCTTTATATGTTATGAAGTAACTTAAAGAACAAAGCAAATTCATTTGAATGGAGCAAGCTAGTAGATGTGACTGGGAAGTTGCACAATCTTGTAGATAGCAGTTTCAAGATAAAGTAGCAATTCTGGTCTAACAGACACTAGTCGGAAGTTGTTTTCTCTTGAAGGAGGGAGAAAGACTCAAATTCTCTATACAAAGTAGTTACCTTCCATCATTGTTGGTTGTTGGATCTCTCTCTCTCTCTCTCTCTCTCAAACGTATTGTTCACTCAAAGTCTCAAACGTAGTAATAAAAAAAGGCAATGCCACAAACTGTCTTTTTTGGCTTTGGACGTGAAGAACAATCAAGGTTAAAGTGTCTTCTCAAGGCGTTAGAGTACTCATTTTACCATAGTTTCTTGCAGAATTCACATGCAAGCTCGTCTGCATTCGTATTGCATTGTATGTTGATGTTTTGTTCTCTTTCCCTCTTCTGAGTAACTTATTTGGGGTGTTAGGTTGAGAGCAAAATCATACACGCAATGGAATATAAAGAAAAAAAAGGGAAGAAAAGAACACTCACTTTATTCTGATTCACTTCAATTTAGGACTACCTCCTGCCAGTTTTTCATTATATTAAAAAAAAAAATTTAGATAACCCTAAAAGAAAGGTTATATTCAAAAAAAAATTTGTTTATAAACTTTTATAAATTACATTATGTATTATGAGTAATACATACTACTTGAACATATACTATTCATAATACATATTGTAGTTTATATAAATTTGTAAAAAAAAAAATTATGAATATATCTTACTCCTAACACTAAATCATCGAAATTATTTATGAATTCAAGTACAAACTGTTAAATAGAAGAAAATTATAACCATGGGGCGTTGTCCCTGCACCGTAACCCTTTATGAGTTATTATTTGATGCAAAGTAAAAATTAGAAGAATAAAATTATATATATATATATATATATATATATATATATATATATATATATATATATATATATATCATCTTATTAAAGAAAATATTTTCCTTCCATCAAAGACATATATATATAGGGTTCATATAATAACTCTAATTATATGAGTTTTAAATTAGAGGGTTATAATGAGGACCTTATGGTCATAAATAGAATGAGGATGAAATTCTAAGAATTTTGATACCCATATTGAGGGTATTTTGCACAGATGAATTTTCATCTGTTAATTTTGACTGCTGACGCAGTAACCGTCAGTAGAATAGCTCCAAGTTAGCAAATTGTAGTTAGAGAGCTAATCTAATGATATAAACATCATGAATGAGGTAAGTATATGACTTGATGAAGTTTGATACCCATATTGGGGTATTTTGAAAAAATCACTTATGCCGGGTATTTTGTACTGCTGTAACAGCAATCGGTGGAATCCCGAAATGGGAACAAGATGAGAAAATAGAAATAAAGACCAATATATGCCTAACAAGTCATAATTAGACCAAAAATGTTAAAGTTAAGAAGATTATGAAATCCGGGTACAGTTAAGAACATCGGTAAAGACTACAGTGCAATTAAACAACTGTTAGTGGATCTGTGATCGACTAATCAAATTTTTAAGTTATGAACATGATAATTAGACAAAATTAATGTTAAGTACTTAAAGTTAGAGTCTTGGAGATTTCCGAGTAAAAAATTTGACGACGGCTCAGATAAAAATTATATCGAGTCTCACTAAAGGACGAATGCCTCTTAAGTGACATGGCACCCCCTCATTAGGGCACCCTCCTCTCTTCCTTCCTTATTGATCAGCGCCCCTCTTCACCTCTTCTCTCTCTAAGTTTCAAATTTTGAAAACTCTCTCACTTCTCTCTAAGATTCCATCACCTAAACCTCTCCAAAACACAAAACCTCATTCATCAAAGTTGTTCCTCTCACTCTCCTCTTCACAGCCAAACCATTTTTATGGTGTGTGTAACACCCCGTGTATACCCGATTTGTTAACATGTCATTGTATTAAGCCACACTTAATTAAAAATGCGGAATATCTTTTTATTTTCAATTATGACGTCATTAAACTTAGCAAGTTGATTACTTAATCAATTTCATAAAAACATCGTCTGTATGTAAATTGCAAAAGACATCTAACTGAAATACCTCATAAGATAAATAAGTGAGTATCTAAGTCACGGGTCTACAACACGTAGTCCAGACAATATCCTGATACATTAATACAACTCATAACTAAAAACATAAAGTCAAGTCAACGTGGCATGGATAATCCCCATGCTCACCAAATAGCAACATAATCAATAGAGTCTCAAACATAACATCAAATGAAGCTATAAGCATGATATCAACATACATAAACCAGCATCCAAGCATAGTCAACATAAGCAGATAAACATCAATCAACTAAGCTTCGTCCTCCTGCCGCTAGAGGTCTCAACCCCAGGGTTACCTGAACCTGAAATAAGCGCCCCAAACGTGGGGTGGGATCTCTAAACAGAAATCTTAGTAAGACAAGGTGTAAGAACCCGCATCATTAATTAAGGAAATTAATCAGTTAATTATGATTTTAATGAGATAATTTCATAATTGACCCTAATAATTATTATGAGGCTCTAATAATTATAGTAAGTGAGTAATAATGCTGAAAGTCGTTTTTCTAACGAAAAGTGCAGATACCGGTCCTGCTAGTCGATATAAATGCGTACCGAAAAAGTATCCCGGAAAATTATATAAGTGCATGATAATTCCTAGAATAATATATAGGACTTGTAAAACAAGTTCAAGTTAAAACAATGAGAACTGGTGCCAGAAACTGGTACTAGTTATGAAAAACGCGAACCGGAAAGGTGCTCCGAAAAATATAAGAAAAATATGATAAATCTTGTAAAATTGAGTAGGTTAAGAATCTTGAGTTTGAGATTAAAATGCTAAGTGTAGCAATTAAGGTTAATACAGTGCGATTAAGTTTAAACTGGCTATAAATACAACTTTGGCACATGATCCTAGGTTATTTTTGTGCCTCCTACGTGAGTGGCTGAAGGGTCAGCTGCTGCCTTCTTCAAATTGGTCTCCTTGCTTGAAAACCTTCCAAGTCTTCACCTTTTCTTCTTGAAACCTTCACTTAAACACCATTGTTAAGTGGGAGTTGGTCTTGTAAGGTTGTTGGGAGCTCCATTGTTGAGTTTGAGCTTCTGAGTTTGAGAAAAGTGGGCTGTCCTTGTGAGTTTGCGTTGTGGAAACCTTGAAGTTGGCTTTTTGAGCTTCAAGGTGTGAACTTTGTGGAGAAAGATACAACATTGGTGTGTCATTTTCGTTTTGGGACCAAGTCAGAACCGTGGAGTCAGTTTAGTGAGCTCTAAGAGCATTCTTCCCACTGTTTTGAGTTATTGGTAAGCTTCACCACTCTTGTGTTTGATTTTATGCTTAAAAATGGAACCTTGATGCACATAATGAGCTAAGTTGACAACTTAAGGGTGGTTAAGGTTAAACACACCTAGAAATGCATGTTTAGGCTTCTGTAATCGGTAACAGTTGGACCTTTGGTTTGGATTTTCGCGAAATGCAGAATCTGAGTTCTGTCGCGAAATATCAGGATATTTTGTTGTGAATATCCGGATATTGATATCCGGATATAGGTATCCGCATATTGATATCCGGATATGGGGATCTGAATATCCAGATATGGATATCCGGATATTGGAAGAGAGATATCCGGATATTGATATCCGGATATAACCCCGACGAATATCCGGATGTTCTGGGATTTCGAAGAATAGTAGCTGCACTGTTCATACAGTAAGCTATTGGGGGTTTGTGGACCCTAGATTGATGAAGTTAAACTTCTGTTTTAATTGAACTAAGTCAGAATCAAGTGATTAAGGGCTTGTGGCTTTGTGTGAGTGTAACACCCCGTGTATACTCGGAATATTAACATTACATCGTATTAAGCGGTGCTTAATAAAAAAAATGCGGAATATTCTTTTCTTTTCAATTATGACGTCATTATCAATTACCAACTTGATTACTTAATCAGTTTCATAAAATATCGCCTGTATGTAAATTGCAATAAGACATCTACTGAAATACCTCAATATATAGATAAAGTGTGTATCTAAATCACGGCATTACATCAAGTAATCCAGACAATATCCTGATACATTATTACAACTCCAAAAGACTCAAGACATAATCAAGACATAATAATACTATGTGTCATGGACAATCCCCATGCTCACCAAATAAACATAGTCAACAACCAGTCTCAACATAAAACTCCATAAACATA